GAAGAACTGCAAGTGGAACGATTACTTTTTTAATGTGACTTTTGTATGCCGCTTTAATAAAATATTTTTACATTTAATTTGATATTGCGCTAATTTGTTTTATCTCTCTATCATTAAAATTTTTTATGATTACTAATTCTATTCGAAATATTTTTAAGGTATTCGCATAAAAGTATATAGCTTTTACACAATAAAATAAATGAATATTGTGGGAGTTTTCAAGCATAACTTGCGGTATTCTATGTACAACTTTATGAAAACGTTTCCCAATGAAAACAAACAGTCCCTTTAAGGCTGATGAAATTTTTTATTAACCGTGCAATAATTGATGGCGATAAAAAATTTATACCCGATAAATATCTTTAAAAAACAATATAGTATTTTTAATAGTACTGAAAAGTCAGTTATCGCGAGTAGTGGAGATATTATTTTGGCTGACGTAAATATGCGAATGGTCAAAGATAATCTTTCCTCCTTTTACAATATCAGCAAAATGTGTCGTGGACGGAGAATTGTCCTTATTCCTTTGTTTTTCCTTTTCTTAATATGAATGACATTGAATTGCAATTTTCAAAAATTTGCTAAACTTTTTTCAAGCTACTCAAGAATTTTTAACACTCAAAACAAGTGTTTATCTCGCTGCTGATATAAATTCCTTATCATTAAAGCAAATAAAATATGAATGTAAAGCATACAAACCTGCGAATAATGTCTAAAATTACTACTTTCAATTTGAATTCAGAGATAGCATAATGCTTGAAATAAATTTTAATTAAATCTCACATTTATGTATATCATTAATAATAATAATAATAATAATAATAATAATAATAGTAATAATAGTAATAATAATAATAGTAATAATAATTATAATAATAAACAATAAACAAAAAATAATAATAATAAATGTTAATAAAAACAATGACAATTGTAATAAAAATAACGACGACGACGATGACGACGACGACGACGACGACGACGACAAATCAATTATATAAAAAATATTCAATTTGCTATTGATTTTTCAAACATCCGACATTAGTTTCTATATAAGTAATTAATATATTTAGATTAATCAACCATGATAATAATTGCCATAGTTTAATGGCAAATTTTAATATCAATTCTCTTATAATTCTTTAAGCTTTTAATTAAATTTAAAACAAGCGTATTCTTATTTAATAGAGAAAAAGATGACTGGATGACTTTGACTTTTTTTGCAAATTGGCGTTAAATGTGAAGCTCGTTATAACAACTCCATTAGCTTCTCTTAATAAATAGATTATTGCAATTATGTTCGGGCCAACGAATATAAACTCCATCTTTACGCAGATTACAAAATTAAAAATAAAATCAAAAACAAACAAACAAACAGAAAACAAAGAAAAATAAAAGAAAAATGAAAGGAAACCAGATAAAAAGAAGTCTTAGGTACTTGCGCACTCGAGTATGAGCCATCCAAATATCTAATAACAATTAGCGAGCAAAAAATGGCACAACCATATCATAGTTCCCAAGCAAACGAATTAGCGCTCTCAGCAACGATTCCCTCTAAATGCCAAATACGTAGTCCTCGAGATTGGCAGCGACGTAGTGAACGGTAGAGTCGCATCATTAATCGAACATTACATTATCTCCGCGCCATCCCAACGTTAAGCCACGTCGGACCATCGGCCAACCTTCGACCTTCCTTCTTCCCTCCCGTCACTACGTCACCCCAGACCCCCTCCCGGCAGAATTAATCGAGTCGATCCCGATCCACCGGCAGCCAGAGTGCCCAGCGATCCAGGACCTGCGCCCGACTCCCGAGGAGCGCGATCGTGGGGCGATGCGTGGGCGGTAACGCGGGCGGCACTGCGAATTACGCGAATCGCATCGCGACGGAAGGAGAAGAGGCCGCGGATGGGCCAAGGTGCGTGAGGCGCGCCTCATCCGGCACTCCTATTCCCTCCAGTCGGCAATGCGACGCCTTGGGGGGTGGCTTTTGAGCTAAAATCGTTCTGTCCGCTGAATTAATTAGAGTACATTCGTGACGCGACTTTGCGGCTTACTTTGCGATTTTGTCTCTCGCTTTAATAATCTTCGTTCCCACACCGAGCGACGACGCGACTCGATCACGCGTTTGTTACTTGTCCGTTAAAGAGTCGCGCCGGCGATCCAACGCCCCTTCGACTTTTCATCAATTTATGAATACTCATTGCCCACCGCCCCCATCCCACCCCTTCTTCTTCCTCTTTCAGCGTAGTTTCTTTTTATCGAGAGAGTTTAGAAAGTAGGACAGCTGTCGTGCGGACATTTGTCGTGGATGTGAAGCTGCAAATTTTCAGGCGAAGTTTCGCTGGTGGATATGATAAATGTCGGGGTGGTTGAAGAATTGTTTTCGGGCTTGGATGGAGATTCAGAGATTTTAAACGGGAGAAGGGCTTTTTGCACGATATAAAATACATAATCAGTCGAAAGTTTATCGAATGTTTTACTGAGAGATAGAGGGAGACCTGGACGAGTTGGCTGTAGTTTTTTTTTCTTTTTTCTTTTTTTCTTTTAAACGATTATTACGATTAACAATATAACTAACGCCAATGGCGTTAGGTGTAATTATGTATATTTGTTTATTTAAATTAGATTTTGCGCTCAGTGAAGTTAATATAAGTAATTAGCCGATGATAAATTATTAGGGGAGCACCGTTGTAATGCATTATTTCGTTTGGAACAATTATTTCATCGTTTGAAACGAATTGCATAGAGCATCGTACGTGACTTTTACATAAGCATAAATGTTTATAACTTTGGGTGGTTATGGACCATAAGGAAAAGGTTAAAAAAAAACAATAATAATAATTCGAGCATCTACCAAGAGCATAAAAATATATTTTTATAACATCACGTCTTTTTAATTATGATAATTAAGACGAATGGTCAACGAAAAAAAAAAACAATAAAACAAAAAATAAAACGAAATTTGCACTTTTGATTATACAAAGTATCGGACGAAATAATTTTAGTAAATAATTCCATATATTAATGTAAACATATTCTACTTAATACAGGCAAAAGTAAAGCTATTTCTTACAGCTACAATTGCGAAATTAAATGTCTTATAGTATAGGGTTTGCAAATCATTTTTCATAAGTAATTTCAATTACTTACAAGTTTTCATTGCCATTGAGTATGTTGATCCGTATACATGTTTTAATTAATTATTGCGACATTTTGAAATGAAAGTTTTATTGAATATCATTCAATTACATTATATTTTTGAATAGAAGGTATGTAAAACTTATCATAGTTAATTCAATTAATATAATGCCCAACCCCTTTTTTTATTGTTTTTTTTCGTCTTTAATTAAAACTCTCGTTATTTATTCCCTAATAAATTCCAATGAAACATAAAGTAATGCTTTCATTAAAGTTAGCATACGGTGGAAATGAATAATGTTGAATTATTTTTACAAGAAACGAAGCGCAAATATAAATAGACATAAGTCATAAGCGATGAAATAGTAGAAAAACTTTTCCGTAAATTTACGTTATCAGAAGCCTTTTATTTCCGTTATACCCTATCAATATTTGGCCGTTGCATTATTATCATCGTTTATGCTTCTCATTCTCATCATAGCAGCTATGTCTTACAATATATGAAACGACATAAAAATTATTCATTTTACTTGAATTGTATAGTTTTCTTAAAATTATCACCGTACGGTACGACCTTATAATTTAGTCTTATTTGCACTTGAGTCACGAGTGCGAAATAAAATTATATTCATTTACCACTTTTTATCGATTCTTCGATTGTATCGTCGTATTCAACGAGGAAATTAAATTGTTTCAAAAACAATACTCTCATAAACCGATCTTAGATTATTAAATCGCATTCTATTCCTCATAGCTTAAGTAATAAATATAATATTATTATTTATATGCTTATTTATGCACTTTATACGATGGTAATCTGTTCGTGGAAAGCTTTCGATGCCATACATTTCATGCGGCAGATTTTCGTTAAATGCTTTAGTATTTAACTTTTTAAAGTTAGATAAATTTTCACAATTGACACTCTCGATTTCGTCAACATCGGTTTAACACGGGTCATTTACAAGTAATTTTTTTTTTTTTTTTTACTTCGTTAACAATTTTATTTTTATAATTAAATTTCCATTTTCTTAATGTTATTAAAAATCCTCTCTATAACTAATTTTATTTAGGCAAACACTACCTTCATATTTATATTACCTCCTTTTCCATCTTATCCGAGTAATTGAATTGATTCATTAGGTACAATAGAAACTTTATCCATTTTATATGAAACAAATAAAATAAAATGAAAAACAAAAAATTAAATTATAATATTTATTAATACATCGTTTGTAATCTCCACTTTTATGGTAGCACTTTAGATTTTTTTTCTTCTATTTTTTTTTTTTTTAAGAGTACACAATTCATCTAATATAAACGCGCGCTTATATTCTTATTGGAATTTTATACAAGACAAAATTATATTTCATGATTTGCCTACACTTACACAATTCACCTAAACTATAATTTTTTACTTATCGTAATATTTAAAATTTAAACATAATGAATATTCTTCAGTCAATGGTGAATGCTATATGTCGTAACTGCTTTACAAATTAAAAATTCAATAATGAGACGAAGCTTTAAACAAATTAACGACTCAGAATTTGACATGGTAATTGTCGTAGGAAAAGAGAAAAGCCGTGTATAGCCATAATAATATACGGTACGACAATTAATAACAATTTCCGTAGACGATGATGAATCAATCAATAATCATAGGCAAGCCTATGGCAATTACAGTTTCTAATGTTTCAACGTATCACTACCGAAGAACAGCACTGGTAATTTATGTCGCGCGTAAGTGTAGAAAACTATAACAATTTTACTCCGATTTTGTACTAGAAACAAAATTGTACCGCTCATTGACATTAGGACGAAAATGAAGGACATGACGAAGACACGATGGGGGGCGGGGGGGGGGGCATTGAAGCGCTCGCCACGAAGGGAAAAGTCGCTCGCTGCGTTATCGGCTGTTGCGTCGGCCGGACCTCGGCGATTGGGCCAGTCGCTCATCCTCGGCCTCGTCGATCTTCGGCATGGAGTCGGGTGTGATCCTCGGGCCCCTTGGCGACGATTGCATCGGCTGCTCAAGGACGAGCGGTCGCACAAGGTCGCGCATACTATTAATCAGCCGCGGGTTCGCGGGCTTAGCCTCGGGTCGACATCTGCACGGCAGCGGCTTTATGAACGAGACCTCGCCGCTGTTGGCCCCTGCGACCTTCTGCGCCCTCTCCAAGGAGCGCGAGCGCTGCTCCGACCCCGAATCCATCAATCGAGACGACGTAGTAGGCTGAACCGAGCGCTAAAACATAAACAGCGCAATTTTTACTGCGTTGCACCGTATTGTGTTCTGTGGTATTTGATATTCGGCTTCGTTACGCGAGATGTCACAAAACGCCTCGCTGGGCTGATTTATTCAACGAATAACTAATTACGAATTTTTACCGGGACGATCGAATTTCTTTATAGCGATAAATTTAGCCGCCTGGCGGAATATTCATCAAAATTAAAGTCCTCGGTTAATCAACATGAATATAAAATTAATTCCAACTTTTTATGACCACTCGTTATTATTTATATGCGACGATAATGGCAATTCTTTAACCATGATTTATGTTAATATTAAATGTTAATAAATTTTCAATCAACATTATTGTTTAATTCAGTGTGACTTAATATATAGCAGGCGTTTATTAAAATTAAAGACCCGAATATTTCTTCAACATTTTACACAACACGATAAACTGCAGTGGAATATTTGTATTTTCCAACTTTGTTAGCCAGTAAAAATAAAAAAAAAAAAAAAAAAAAAAACAAGAAAGTTGAAAAATTTATGACCATCATTTTTTATTAATTGATAATTTAACTTTTTATATATTTTTAAATTTGAGGGATTTCTCGGAAAATACATTGGTAATGCTGTAGTGATAAATGCCACACCATTTAAAAATATCGGATATAATAAATGTATAAAAATCAATTTTCAATCTTTCGACGGTATTATTTTATAACAATGTCGATGCGAGTTATCCAATAATAAAATTCAAAAATAAAAAGAAAGAAAAGAAAGCTTGTCCCCTATTAAAATGAAACTTGGAATCCGATTTCGGAAAAGCGAACAAGTTGGTAATCTTTATGACAAAAAAGTACATGACATATTAATATTTTCTTGCTTAACTTCTATAAATTAGGAGTCATTTGTTTTTATCTCGATTGTAACGATTATTCATATTTATGACATCTGCGTTGAATTGTTCTGCAATTGATTTTCTGAAAACATGTGTATACTAAAGAGAACAATTAATTTTGTCAAATAGATTTGTAGTTACTGGTATTTTAAAAAGCTCGTCGTTTTCTCGTAAATTATGAATATTACATCTTCGTAATATGAAATGTAATCCAAATAGACAAAAATAGAAAGACAAAATGTTAATACTGAATTTAAACTATAAATTAAGAAATACAAACACTAAATTCATTGACCGTCAAATATAAAATAACATAACATAATTCAAAAAGTACGCAGTTTCTATTAAATATAAATAGCCGAATCTATAACTTCCATTCGTTCAACGCGCAAAAGATAAAAAAAGATTATTATTATTATTATTATTTCAAAGATAGTAAAAAACAAGTCGTTAGAATTTTTCGACACCTAAAAGATATAATAATTTAATATAATAATTAAGTGGAACTAAATTTTAATCGTGAAACATATTTCATGCCTAATCTAGCAAACGAATTATTTTATTTTATTTGTATAATTTCATGCGTATAATAATGATTTTATCACGGCATTATTATAGTCATTCGAGATAACTTTGTGCTACGATCGCGCTATCGTATAAACAATGTACATATATCCAACATACTCGAATTTTTAATCGTAATACTCATTAATTGCGCAAAGGTTAATTCAATTGAAAATGTCATTTTTATATAATTTTAATTATATGCGAAACGAGCACAGAAGCAAGATTAAGCAATAAGTATAGTTGAAATAGTATTATTTATGGAAATCCCAAAGAGGATTAAATAACAAGTTACCATTTCTTGAACTTCTCGATAACTTAGAGTCTAGTGAAAATAGCGATAAAGCAATAAACCAGGATCAATCGAGAATAATATTTAAAGACGATCGAAAAAGACTTTAGGAAACACAATGAATTTTCAAGAAAGAAGTAAAATAAACATTGACTTAAGTGAGGACGAATATAAATGATGAAATATCGAAAAATATGATAGCATTACGAAAAAAACTGGTCAAATGTTTGATGACTGGAAAACCAGAATTGGAAAATAATAAAATACTAGACATAAAAAATAATAAGAAGTAGAATAACATTGGTGGAACGTACATAGGTATAAAGTCCATCATAAAAGGTTTTAAAGCCAGGTCAAAGTCTAATACGGGATGAGAATAACAACTTAGTAACGGATATCGATGGTCCACTAAGTAGATGGAAAAACTATTTTTCCATCCATATTAAAAATTATTTAACCCAACGTAACCACAAAATTGAAAGTAATGAATTTCTAAACTTTAATTTTAAACGTTGCGTCTTCATTTTCAACACTCGAAAGTGGATTAATTATGTGTTATTTATTATCTCATTATTGTTATTAATGATATATATATATATATATATATCATTAAGAAAATATTTCTCTTTATTGAGTTTGAAAGAATTTTTGTTTAATATTTCTGAAATAAAACTTATATACATGTTTAGTGATTTATTGAAAAGGAAATATTTTTCTAGAGAATGAACTTAGGAAAATTTTTAGTATTCAAATGAGATCTAAAGTGGTTTATTAAAAATGATAATAATTAAAGTTAAAATTAATGAAATATATAAAGTCCTCGTTGGGCTAAATATATTAAAAAGTTAGTTAAATTCATATGCTGTAGTCGTAGTTCTAGACTGCGAGAAGGAAATAATTTATTGAAAATGATCTAGATCAAGATTGATTAAAAAATGATGACATGCTATCACTTCTGTTATTCAAATTGATTTTAAAATAGGTTATTAGACGTGTACACGAGATGTAAAAAGAAAAAAAAATGAGAAAAAAAGAAATAGTCATTTAAATTGAATAACTCAAGAGTTTGGATACACAGATGTTCTAGGTTTAGAAGGAGATGGCAATGAAATAATGATTAAAAATGCATAGATTCCCGTAAAAGCAAGAAAAGAAGTAGGTTTAGTAACAAAGAAAGCAAAAAGTTAAAAATATACTCAGTGTCAGATGGAAATGAGATTATGAAGATGGCAGAAGAGAAATTTCGAATAAATTATTTAACGAGATAGATAAATTTAAATATAGTGAAGTAGGGACAATAGGCAACGGACGTATATACGATAAATTATTAAAACCAAAATATGAAAAATAATAAATTCCATTTGGAAATAAATTTTTATTTTATCGAAAGAACAATAATTTACTCCTCATTGTAACGTAATTAAAAAAAAAAAAATAAATAAAAAAAAAATGTAAAGTGAAAATAAGATAGATTTTGAGCAAAAATTAGGTTGAAATAAATTTGGAGCAATGTAAAATATAGCATCGAAAGGAAATAGAAAATGACATAATCCAGGGATACAGGATCAACGTACTTCATCCTATATTGTAATTAAATCGCGAAGCTTAGGATTGACTAAGCATGTAGCTAGAAAGCGAAATAAAAGACCAACGTAGAGGATTTTCGTGGTGAAGCCGCAAAGTACAAGACCTTTACCGAGACTAAAACGAAGATGGAAAGATAATATTAAACTGGAGTTAAGAGAAGTAGAGTATAACCAAGTATCTTGGATGGATTTGGCGTTAAATAAGAAAGTTTTTGTGTTGATGAAGTAATAATCTTTCGAGTTTGCAACACCGGTTAAGTAAAATTAATAATAATGACAATGGTATAAAAATTAATGGTAATAATAATAATTATTATAATTTGCTATGTTACAGTATAATTATTATGAATAATAATCACGTATATCCGTCAAAAACTAGTTTGGCGTATATTTATAAACCTTATTATACATCGGTAAATGTTAATGTTCGCATGTATGTGTATTAATTATTTGAAATTGCGCTTTTACATTAATATCAACATGCATTATTAATCACAACTCAGCATTATCAAAATCGTCGCGTTCATCGTTATTCTGAAAAAACTTTTCGAATTAACATTCTGCATAAATTTCATCCATTTTAACAAACAATTAATTAAAATATGCAAAATCCACTCCCAGCCGTCAAGATCCACATAATAACTATCGCACTATGGATATTTAGGCATGGAAATTGAAAGTAGTAGGGTCCATTAATAATAAACACAAGCAACCTATAAATAATTGTATATACGCATACGTACACTCGCGCATGCATATTTTTTATTGGACACGTGTGCGTGCGTTCGCGCGTGTTCATATATTCGTGCACGCACGCGCTCAAGCATACGTGTATGTATATAAACATATATAAATATGAAACCCGTGTACTAAAATGCATATGTATGCGCACATGTACGTATGCGTATATATATATATATATATATATATATATATATACACATACATACATGTGCGCATACATATAAATACCCGGCGAAGGCATCGGCAATGGTTCCACGCGTTTCTACTCGCACGTGAACCGACTCTTTTAAAAAGCTCCTCGGCTCAAAAGCAGTAGACAAACAGGTTTGGAGTAAATGACTTACGGGTCGGCCGTTAGGAGGCAGCGTGCATCCATAGCCGTAGTAATGGGGCGCTGGGACGGTGCTCGTATCCTTGGCATAGGACGAGGTTGGAGTGATCGGTGCCGTAGTGGCAGCCGCCGTCGTCGTCGTCGTCGTCGTCGTCGTCGTCGTCGCCGTTGCCACTGCCGCTGCGGCCGCGTAAGGAGTGACGCCCTTGAGGCTGTCCCAGAGTTGGGCTTGCCGACGAAGCTCCTCGGCGTAGTTGTTGAAGAGGACTCCCGGCAGGAAGCCGAAAGGGCTGAGGCCGAAGGCGAGGCTCGGATGGTAGTACGTAGCGAGTGGTGAGTAAGGAGGGCGAGGCGAGCAGAGATGATCCCATGGCCATGAGTTGTACTGAGATATCGAGGAGGTTTTTTGTCCTTTATTGCGTTTGGCCGTTCATTTGGCAAGGGCGTCGGGCTGTTTTTGCAGTGGACGTGCAAGGAAGCATTACGCGAATCGTTAGTTCTCGGTTGCTCGAGCAGTCGGGCTGAGATTGACTTTTACACGTTAACGGGACCTTTTAACGAGGGTGGATATCTCGTTAGTCCCACATGATCGCGATGCTTATTTGCACTCGTCTTTCGGGTCATTCGATCGTTAATGCGCGAGTAAAGCTTTAGGTATCTGATTTTGAAAAGTAATGACGGTGGTCGAAATACTTCGAGTAAGGTTGCATCGACATTCTACGTAATCGCTTACATGATTATTCGTCGTAATGCTTTGGCACTAATGAAGATAAATAAAAATAATAATATCGTAAATCATAGCAGGTCAGCACAATCGGAGAAATTGATAATAATTTTTTTCAGAAAAATTTATAGTTTTAAGATTGAGTCAGTTAAATTAAAGTTGTTGTTGTTTTTTTTGTTTTTTTTTTGTTTTTTGTTTTTTGTTTTTTGTTTTTTGTTTTTTGTTTTTTGTTTTTGTTCGCTTAAGGATTAAAGTATGATATGAATGATTTCTTACGAATAATGTGGATAAAATTTAATAAACTTTATTACCTAACACTTGTTGGTAGCACAAACTCCAAAATCTCGTGGAAAGACCTGTTAGGCAATATATTGTCACAGCAGCTCTTAGTAGGCGGAGTTGTTATTTTCTGTTCAAGCAGCTTTCTAAACTTACACGCAATTGCTAGCAATTATTTGCTCAATGATGGCGATTCTTTATAAGCTTCGAATTACGCTTAAAAACGGAAATATAAATAATCAATAATTCCAGCGATTCTTCTGCAAATCAATAGCAAGGCATATATTAAACAACGGTGTAACAATACTTTACTTGACTACACCTTCAGAATCGTGAATGAAGGTAATAAAAATAATAATAAAGATATGAATAAATAAATAAATAAATAAATAAATAATGTAATGAGCATCATTGGTAAGCGCACAATGAAAATAAAAGCGTACATTTAAATTGGTGTTATTGAGGTAAAAATAAAACAAAACCATACAAGTAAAAATAATCACTATTTATATAAAAAAAAGTTTATTAAAAAACATTAAAAAAGATAATCAGCATACATGCTTATATGTAACATAAAAATATAAAGTGCATCTATGGCGATCGCAAGAAAACGAAGTATGTACTGAATAATGAGGAGAATAATTAATGTAAATAACATGAGTCATACGAGTAAGCAATGTAAAAACTAAGAGTCTTAAACAAAGAGCAAACGTTGCATTTGATTTTCTCGATAATTTTATAAATTTGTTATTCACTCCGAGCATTCGATTAATTGCAAGAGTACGAAATTTCGTATAAATTTTCGGACACTTTTTTAAGTCCCAATTAAAATTAAAGAGTCCTTAGGACATTATATCTATGATCAATTCTTGTTTCATAGATTATCAAATCAGCGAAACAAAGCATCGTGATATATTGTAAATTGTAAATCTGAATTGCGTCGATTATATGCGTGGGTGTGGGTGCGGTTATTTTTGTGTGTGCGTGCGCGTGTATGTGCGTAGTATATATAAATACGTTTACGATGAATATATATCGTTAGTATCCGATTTATTAATAATCGTGTCAAAAATAATATAAGGACTATTGATGTAATCCAATTACTTTTTTGTCACAACGTACAATTAAATTTAATACATTGAGCGGCTGGTTATCTACATAATATTTTAATGATTCCTTGAGCACTGAGTAACGAGTCGAACACACGCTTAAGACCGGTTAATAAGTTACAGTGATAGAATGTTATAGTGAAGAAGAAAAAAAAAACCACGCGTAATTGAATTTTTAGTGCTCTTAGTTTTTTCATCTGTTCTTGCACGTCTAAGACCTCGATAAATGCAAATCGCATTTAAAATTTTCAAATATTCAATATTTCACTGTAAAATTTATACAAAATCCGTGAATATTGATACAATGTATATAAAAGTCTCCGCATAAAGTTGTTGTCCCAATTCTCTGTTACATTCTCGTACAAACATTCGACATTCAACCTCGCACTTTCTTACGTCTCAGTGGAATTGCGATGCTTCAAGAATAATCAGTATATTTGTTATTGAATAATAACTGTTTAATTAGATAAACGATTTTTCGACAGTTAAACTGGCTACATAAATTATTAGGAGGATTTATACATTAAGCGAATGCTGTTAATGAAGAAACCAGTTCGGACTGGAATCGATCAGTCATTACAATAATTACATAACGTGTCATTTTAGCACTTTTCGACAAAAGTTAAGCTTAACTGTCACTCAATACTGCCGAATGAAATGCCAATAAATCCATAAAACTAGTCCAAGTCTTCTTTCAAAGAGTCGAGCTGATTCCTTATAGAAACAGATTTTTAAAGCATTTTACTGCGCTATTATTTAAGCACAGTCAAGCACGAAGCACCGAAGAAAAAACGTCTGCTTGGTAGACTCGCTTTAACATCGTCCCTCGTTATTAATATTCTCGAAGGCCCGAAATTTTCTTTGCAGAAAACAGAAGAGCGAGCAAAAAAAAAAATAAACGCCCAATAAAATGGCGTCGCAGCCAAGTTGTTCCAACAATGAAAAGAATGCGCGCAGAAGCACGTCGCACGTCGCCGTGTATGATACGAACAATGCTTTCGCAGTCGGGTAGCCGTTGTCTTTGTTCGTCAACGGGTCCAATTTCGAAGCGTCCGCGTTCATTTGCATCTTCAAGGACTGTTGACTGACTCAAAGCTCGGTTGTAAAAGCTCTTCGAGGCCCTCCGCCATAATGAAATCGCGCCAACTACAAAGACCATCGATAAACCACACGCTCTCGCATTCACGTGCATACGCAAACACACATTCTTGCACACGATCGCCGGCGTTTCATCCATGACAAACAATGATAGTAAAAATAATAATAGCAGTAATAATAATAATAATAATAATAATAATAATAATAATAATAATAATAATAATAATAATAATAATAGTAATGATAGTGATAATGAAAAAGATAGGGAGTGATAGAGGGTGAGTGTGAGAGTGAGAAAGACAGACGGAGAGAGAGAGAGAGAGAGAGAGAGAGAGAGAGAGAACGGTGGAGGCTGCGGGCTCGACACGATTGATGCGCCACTCAAGGAATACGATAGAGGGTTACCTGGCCGAGGCCGGTGATGTCGGCAACGGCCGAACCCTGGGACAGAGTACCGCTGCCAGTCACCTGACCAGGTTGGCCACTCAGGGGCACGCCACTGATGCGCTCGTGTTCCCGCAGGTGGCTCACCAAGGCGGCTATGTGCTCCAGCAACTCCTTGTTCTGAACGAGTAGCTGGTGCGTCCGGGTCTGCAATTCAATCGTTAAAATCTTCATTAGCGCTCACATCGATCGAGCGAAAGCTCATTCAACATCAGCCAAACATTTTTCCTCGATCTTACAACAATGCATTAAGCTACTGCGTACGGATACTCGATGTACACGAGCATTGAGATTGCGCCAGGATCGTCTCCCAACGTCGCATTACCTCCACGAAAGTACAATTAAATTAAATATCGCGGATAATCGTTGTAACTTATGAGCTTCGATCGGCAATTGATTAGCTCGCGGTGTTAGAGAATTCATAAAATTGAAAAGCGCGACCGACTTTTAGTCTCTTTTGCTTGTCAAGCATTGAAGAACGATCGGTGCGCCCACTGGAAGCTTTGAAGGATGTTAAATATCGAAGTTCTTCGTCTTTTATTTTTATTAAATTGACGCGATTAATTTAAAAGTTCGATACGCCCGTATGGTGCCGGAAATACGGCCGGAGTGACGTTAAATTGTTAAAAATTAATTGAGCGGACGTGGTACGTGATAATCCGTGTAATAAGCATGGGACAACGTGCGAGACAAGATACATGTCCATGATGGGATAGCGTCCGAGCTAAATGAAAGGGCAAGTGGCATTTTTCTAATTCTACCTAACTCGAATAAATATTGACTCTACGATCCCCTTCCCATCACACACCCCCGCCACCCACTCATTAAAGCTCACTGTCGAAACAAAACTAAATAGCAGAACTCGTAAAATCATCGTATTACAGAGTAAATAACATCGAGCCTTTCAATGGTTACGTCAGAGACGAATAGAGGAAAGAGGAGGATGAATATAAATCGGGTGAAAGGTAAGCGCGCTCATTAAATACCGATGGCAAGTTTTTTTTTTTTTTTTTTTTTTTCTTTTTCAAGTCTAAAAATCCTCGGACGCGCGCGGCAATGAATAGAGGGAAAAGCTCGAAAGGCCCGTGGAGAAAAATAAATAAGCTCTCGAAGAGTCGAAAAGTATCGCTCACCTGCGCCTCGACGCGAGCCGCGGTTTCGGCGGCCAGCTGATCCTGCAGGAGGCGCGCGTGGGCGACGGCGGCCCTCGTCTGCTGGCTCTGCTGGTCCAGTCGCTCACGCAGCAGCTGGATCTCGTGCTTGAGGGCGGTGAGCTCGCCGTTCATTAGCTGATCCGCGATGGCGTTACCCTGGGGAGAGAGGTTGACGTTAGTGCTGGATGTACGGTCGGCTGGATGACTGGCATTTCCGTCCAATGTTTATTAGATTTGCCTGATAAATCTCGACTTCGTCTGCATTGTCCGACATATGCGAGAGTATAGAAACGTATTTGCCGCGGGTTTATTGAAATAATTATGCTCGTATCTAATTCAGCGATCGGTTCGTAGAACTTTTATGGATGTATTTTCATTTATATTTAATTTTCATGCCATTTTAAAGCACTCGGTAGCTTGTTACTGTGTATTGTTTCGTTTTTCCATTTTTGGCTTTTAAACTTACGATAAGTTGTATTTCCGGCAAATTCTACTGGATTGTTTATTTTTCGGTAAATTGCATACATCGGTGATTTATATTTAATATTCATTGCGCTTAGTTCTAAAATCTGTACGTACGAAGAACTGAAAGCGAAGGATTTCGTTTGATTATAAATATCCTGTAAAAAATACAAAAAAGAAAAAAAAGAAAAATAGAAAGAAAAACACGTATAAATCTAAAATCAGTGATAAAGGTTCGCGTACCTTATTTAATTACAACCAAATTTAAATTATGATGAGAATTTAGTTGGCTGCATTTTTATTAGTAATAGTAAAGCTAATAGAACTTTAATTAATGATTCCAGAGTTTAATTAACAATATTGTAAAAACATTTTTAATTATACGACAAGTAGGCGACAAATCTATCGTCATAATGTCGATAAATACAATAAACATTATCCGAGCAAAAATGACAGCCAAGTCGCTAATTAATTACAATTAATGAGCACTTTACTTTTCTCCGGGCAATTTTAAAATAATGAGAATGATTTATGTTTTCTATACATTAATAATTATTGAGTGTACATCCATAAATTACTTTCGGAAATTGGCTATTATATGTTGTATAAATATGTAGATGCACGCAACGAAATATAAGAAGACAATCAAAACTTTACATTCACCTTACATATTTATACATACGTACGTACGTACGTACATACATGCGTAAATACACGCACGCGCATTTACGCGCACCCATGTACTCACGAATGTATACACGCGCGCGCGCATAAACGCGAAGCGGTAATTAGTTATTGTCGAGATAGATACGATATTTTCATTGAATAAGAACTTTTTTTTTTTAAACGAGACTAAAGAGAAAGCAGTCAGCCAGCATCATCATTCACGCAGTATGACATATCCTTGCGAAAATAATCATTCGTGTCGGAAATGATCAAGCAGCTATAACCGTCCGCGGGAAGACTTATATTTATAATCCCAATGTCATTTTCTATATTACCCGTGAGAAAGAAACGAGAGTAAAGTAATTCTCGATGATAAATTTTATAATAATCCGCGCATGGCCAGTTAAGAAAACGGTATAATCCCCGGGGCGACTCGCTTGTCCCGAAGTTTTTCTCGGCAGCGATCGATAGCGCGAGGTGCCACCAATAATCCAGAAACACTTGATTGTCTATGTTTTTGACGTGTCTCCATCACCGGCCAGTGTCGATTAGCCGACGAAGTCGACACCAGTTCGTGTCTCACCGGCGAGGCAGGGCAGGCCGTTGTAGCCGACGCAATCGTCGTCGTCGTTGTCGTCGTGGCCGTTGTCGTTGTCGTCGCCGTCGTCATCGTCGTTGCCGCGAGCTCGTGGTGGTGGTGGTGGTGGTGATGGTGGTGATGGTGGTTATCGAGGGGGCAGGGTTGGTCCAGGATCGAATCCTCAGCATCACCGAGCAGCGACATGTCTGAAACAAGAAGCAATCGGGGCTGCGGTAAGCGAGAGAAGCCTTAGCTTTTCTTTGATAACGATCGAGCTGCCATTCGAGACTCTGACGCTCGCTTTTATCGCAGACGGATAAAAACGTCACGCACAACGATTTCTTAGTGTGACTGCGTGTGCGGAATGCCCGGCTCACTCCAATCATTTGTCCTTCTTAAAAAAAAAAAGTTTGTTTCTACTTAATGCATGGAAACATATGATCTTTAATTTCTTATCAAATACATTAGAAAGCATTCTTGTATGTGTGTATGTATATATATATATATATATATATATATATATATACGTATAATTTACCGAAGCATTGATCGTTGATTCGCAAGGTAAACGCATTTAAACTCTTAATCACATACAATGAGTAATTGCATTTTTGTCTACCGAAATGTTCATTTTAGTTGATAGAGCTTTATTTTCCAATCAATTCAATTGGTAAATAGACTCGACAAATTTTACTATTTCCCTAATTACTTCTAATGCAGAGATCTATTAATTAAACTTAGCATAACCTCTGGATAATAATGTTAATGGCGTACGTTAATTTCATATAGTATTTATTATTAATTTTTTTTTTTTTTTTAAGTAACGATAGAACATGGAAACAATGATTAAATTGTCAGGTTACTAAACGGGCCCCCAATATATTTAAAAAATGATACTTGGATTTTTAATCTATAGAGTGATGCTCTGGATTTAGGGAATTAAGTCGATTCAATTTGTCTCTTCTCATGTGCATCTATTGCCTGTAGCAAGAGACATCCTGAAACACAATTAACTGTTACGAACTCCACTAATTATATAAATGCAGAAATTCCTCTTATTAAATTAACAATTGAATTCAATTGACAGAGAATGAAAATTCTGAAAATCCTTAAGATACGCATCTAGTCATTTAATTTCGTAATAAGCATTTTTAATATAAATGTATCTTTTAAAAATAAAGTTCTATAATACGTAAAGCTAAATAAACGTTTGTTTTATCTATTTAATAAGGTAGTGTTTCATAGTTTAAACACTCAAACAATTTCAATAACTGAAAAATCAAAACTTCACGAGTTTAACCAGAAATTTTTCTGACATGAATATAAAACTTAGTTTTTACATAGTTTTTTCACTATTAAAGTTCTTTTTTAATGAAAAGAGATAAAGAACGTATTTAAACTTTGTAACATAAAAGTTGTAAACTTAAATTAAAAAAAAAGAAAAAAGAAAAAAGAGACACTTTCAGCTGTAAATGGATGCTTTTTACAACGGTCTTGTATAATATTATATTTCAAGCTATTTTATAAAGTTATTCCATATTTACGTATAAAATAATGTTCAGTTAGAGTGGTTGTATATATTAAATTATTATACATAATATACTGCAATTAATTGTTAATAATAAAAATATTAATAATGATGATGATTATGATAATAATTATGAAGCTTATCGAAGCACTAATTTTCCTTTCAATATTTACCAGTCTACTTTCATTATTATAATGCGAAACCTAATTTAATACTTTTTCGATAAAGTAGAAATGGCCTAACTTCATAGGGTGAAAAAGATATTAAAAGAAACAAAAAGAAAAAAGAATAACAAAACAAACAAAATAATAATACAAAGCATATTTTCATTTTTTTTTTGTTGATATATCGCGCTTTATAACTTCAATTTTGCGCCTCCATCGTGCTCGTTTTATAATAATGTCAGGTTGATTTACCGGTTAGCGCGATGATACTGTCATATGTAAATAGGCGAGGCTGAGCGAAAATCCTAAAAACCTTTTTCTTGGAAAATTATTTGAATTTCTAATAGATTTTCATGAGGCTCCGTGGTGCTAATAATCGCCCATTTATTATATTCAAATTTCGAAAGCGAGGGTCTCGCGCGCACACGGTTTCCCCTCCTGCGGGAACGATACGATCGGCAACTTCCTGCGTTTACCGGGCGGAGTACCGAGAAACTGCTACATTATTTATGGCGCCGCGCGTATCGCCTCCCTTCTTCCTTGGCCTTTGTCTTTTGCGTGCATGCACGCACAATTGACAAATCGATGCGCATTTGGCTGTAGCCGATGAGGAGGAGGGGGAGGGGGTGGAGGTGGTGGTGGTGTGGGTGCCGGGAGAAACAATGCTGCTCGGAATTTGCTTTATTGTTTCTCTTTTTTCTTTTTTTCTTTACATCTATTTTTTTTTTGTTTTCTCTCTCTCTCTCTCTCTCTCTCTCTCTCTCTCTCAGTAATGAAAGCTAAGCGAACGGAGCGAAAAGCTACAGCTGTTCGCGATCGCTCTTGTGTGGGAAGGTGGAAACGCGAGTGCGAGCTGAGTAATGAGAAAATTATCGGATAGGGTCGTTGTTAGTGCGATAATTACACGAAATGCCGTGCTACCGTTATCTGAACGATGCTCATGACGTTTGAACGTAGAGTCAATTTTTATTGCTGTTGTAAGCTCCACTTCTTACCATCCTGAGGCGAAATTCGCTTGAACTCTCAATTAAACAGCGCTCAGTGCGCCGTTCTCGGCTTCTTAACCAAATTTTACTTAGCCCTGGCTCGCTTCTACTCACAATTCTCGTTCCTCCTCCTTAAGCACGTAACCACTTCTTTTACATTTCCCGGCTTTGGTAACTGATTTTTATAACTGATATATTTGTTATATTTGACAAATGCGCAAGACACATTGTCTTTACAAGCAATAAAATAAAATAAAACAAAATCAAATTTAGGTGCTTAAATTAAACTATTCGTTATTTTGATAAAAATGTTTCATATTTATTTTAATTAAAAAAATTGTTTTAATTTAAAAGCTCGTTTCGAAATAAAGTCGCTGGCGAATATTTATTTTTGTATTGTTATGTTATTTTATATATACATGTGTATATACATTTCGAATATTATGCCTTTTTCGCTTGTATTGTGCGCATGTGTTGCACATTTTTTCGAATAACAATAAGAAAAAAAAGAGATTAAAAAAATTCGAATAGAAAAAGTGGAGCTACATACGCATTTCATACTTTTCCAATGCAATTGAAACGCAAAACTAAGTTGTAGATAATGATAAATTAAGCATTCCGGCTTCGCTTTATGCGCGAACATAAGAGCCGACGACACTTTGGCCACATTATAAATGTTGTTTAAAGCGTTGCAAATGAAAGGTTCATTTTTCTTTTACATATCGAAGTCCATTGATTAAAGCGATGAAACAGTTCTAGGACGTCGTCTGCAAATTTCCTGTATTTTCGACCGCAGGAAGCCGATAACGTTCGAATATTGGTTTTGCGAATTTCCGATAAAAAGTACGCTATGATGTTGAATTCCATCCGACATTAAGATATTTAAGAGAAGTTTCTCCACAATCCGTAAAATGAGTAAAAGGGGCGTTAAAAAAAAAAAAACAAAAAAACAAAAAGAATAATGAAGAAAGAAGGAGAAAAAAAATCAGAAAAAAATAAGAGCCCTTGATAATTAATTTATTTTTAACTGTTTTATGAATTTTTAATTGTTTTACGTACGACTTTTAATACTGATGATACACTTTTGTTAAACAGTTTTTGTGAGTTTAAAGGATTTTGTAAGTAGATAACGATGATAAACAATTATTTATTATTCTACGAAAAAATAATCAGTCTTAATGGTAAACTAGCACTAATATTGTCACGTAAAAATGTTTGGCAAATAAACTAATTAGCATATAAATTTTGTAATTCATAGAAATCAATTTTTATTAAAAACGTGATATATACTTTTTATCTGATGTTTGTATTTTTAAGCGATATAGGTGAGATTGCAAGATATACCAATTTATGTAATTATGCCTTTGGAAAATTTAATCGAAAGTTCTTAATTGGCAACATCTTCTTGATATATATTTATTACCGAAGTATTTGTAGCTTAAAGCGATTCAAAGTTTTTTCTTCTTATGCAAATTCATACAAACCATTATCTAGATACTCAATCCATGAGATTCACAGAATAGGAGGACAATGTCCAAAGCCATTGAAAACTTTTGCCTTGAGGATAGCATAAGAGGTAAGAAAATGAACGAATGTAAAGATATTCCAAAGGTTATTTCATTCTCTAGAAAATTGCTTTGGCTATTTAAGTTGTAATATATCCTAAAATTAAAATAAAATTTGTAATATAAATACTCGCATGTCCGCCAGATTAAATTTAATTCGCTTTAGAAACCGAGATACTTGATTTCCCAAGAATGCAGTAGATGAGAGTTCCCATGGAATTAAATATATTCGTTGAAATCCAGACGAAAGATAAATTTTAGTTGTAACGTTACGAGCTAAGGCTAGAAAAAAATTCATAATTCCACGGAGATCAAAAGAGAAACATTATCTTTCGACAAGGCATACCACACGTTCGAAAAAATTCATATTTTCGCCCAAAGTCCGTTGAAAAAAAGCTCCCAGTGAGATGGGCAATTTTTCAAAAATCGTGCCCCCTGGCCCCGCCAACTCTTGTCGAAGCAACGTAAAAGGCCAATAATTTAGCGAGCATTCCACCACCGGCCGTCGTCATCTGCATCGATGGTGAAACGCCGTTTACCGGCGCCTCCGACTACCAACCCAATGTTTATTGGTCTTTCTACGTGATAATTCATCACGAAGACTGAATTATTTTAGCCCCCATTGCGAGCTTTGGCCGGCACTCGAGCAATGCCACCACCATCTTTCCACGATAAAAGCCTCTTCCGTAGCACCGTTGCCAGTACCAGCGGCACCAACTGCACCATCACCATCACCAACTTGGACTACCTCGCGAATGCATGAAACGCGATCGGGCCTCAAGGCGCGATTTCCCGATTATTACCTTGTGCGGCTAACTTTAATCTTTGCGCGTGCTACCCGACGGCTAAAAAGTAAATTTTGAGTTGCGAATGGGAACGTGCCTGCGAGAAGAGAGACGTCGAGGGAAGCGACGGGAGGGGAAGGGAAAGGGGAATTGGAAAGGGGCGAATGGGGGGAGGGGGGAGTGGAGGGGAGGTCGCAGTCTCCAGTGGAGTATTTGTGAAAATAATGGGGTTATGTGTGATCGTTTCGCGTAAACTAGACGGAATTCACTTCACCGGTGTGTTAAGGCAGTTTTATCGGAAATCCATTTCTCCGTTGAATTCTTTGAGCTTTTGACTGCGCGTAAATAATTTCGCTGTGTCTACGAATTTAATTTTTTTTCTCTCTTTTTTCGTCTCCTTTTTTCCCAGACCGGTAAGATTTATACTTTCCTAAAGTTTTTCTTCTACTTTCTCACACTTTGTGGAATTAGGAAAAAGTTTACGTATCGATTATCGCATTCACACTATTTCTCAACAACCAAAGTTTTTAATCATAAAATTAGTATAAATCAATGTACGTCCGATGAGGGCATATTCTATCAAATGTAATTGTAGTCAATTTTATTATTAAAAAATCTTTTATATTATGCATGCATATAATTTTCTCTGGTAAATGTAAGTGCTTTTAAAAGATTAGGATGGCGATAAGTAGCCATAATAGATGTAAATTAATTATTAAAATTAAATAAAAAATTTATAACGAATTATCAAGCATTATGTAAATACCATGAGTTTTTAAAATGATAATAAAATATTTAAAATATAAAAATACGTAAATAAATGTTGAAATTGATTGTTTATCTGTAAAAGATTTTAGAATCATCAATTATAAATTTTATACTTATTAGTCGTGATTGGGCTGAGGTAATTTTTATCATGAACTTTGCAAAACTCCCGTACTGATTAGGCGGTAATAAATTTCATAATATATTTTAATTATTAAGTAATTTAAATAATTAAGTAATACAAGGTAACATAAAATAAATATTATAATAATCTCCAGCAGTTCCCATTACTGGCGAACTCGCGGATATTTAAGTAAAATTTCAAAATTAAAAATGGTTGATTTATGGTTATAAAAAACCAAAAAAAAAAAAAAAAAAAAAAAGAAATTGATATTCAATCAAATATATCTAAATTGACAGTAAAGATAAAATAACGCGCGTCTGGTGATGTTTAAAAATAACAAATGAAAATGACAGCGACTCCCTGAAATTTATGAGTCCGTTATTATAAGTTGTGCTATTTTTAGTTGAAATTAACGATCTATGACTTCAAAACTTTCCACAATCCTACGAATCCAAATGATACGCTTCACCGTTCAATATCTCTTATAGAACGAATGATTGCAAATTTCAAAATTCACGTCAACACCTGCTTTATTATATTAGCACAGTCGTGTAATGTTACCGAAGGCTTATCATTAACAAATGAACGAGCAGTAAATTTTCATTAAACGATTACCGAATTATATTCCTTTTAATAATTTGACTATTTGTGAAATTAGCAGTAAAGTAACATGAAAACTGCCATAACGAAAAAATTCGGCAATTTTCTCAATTTAATAAATGCAAGGCTTTATTGGAGATAAAAGTATTTGAAATATCGGGAGTAAAATTCCAATGAATAAGCATTTCTTCGGCACGTTTTAAAGAAAGGGAAAGACGAGGTTGGAAAAAATTGAAAGCTGCCCTTGGCGGCCTCTTTCATAATCTCTTAATTAAAGGCAATGCGTTCGTTCCATTTTTCCATTATATTATCAAGCAATTAATTTCGACGAGCAAGAGATCACGCCCCCAGATTAACGGGAAATAATTTTCTTATAATGGATCTAGCCTCCTTTACGAATTCCATGGTTAAAGTTCGTCTCCGAGCCTCGGCAATGCGAAACTATTCGGCCGACGACTCATGTCGCGGCCTCGGGGTGGTTGTGGCGGCGCTGCTGGCGGCCCCTGGAGCCCGCGGGGAATTTGGCGGAATGTGTTTGGTGGATGGGGTAAGGCGGAAGTATAAGCGTACCCTACCAATCGGGATAACGAGGACTTAGAAAACTATAAACTAGAGGCCAAAGGAGGAAAGCGGGAATTCGCTCAACCTCATGTATATGTATATACTGACCTTTATGGACGGAGGAGGGCGAGGGCTGGGACTGGGCGAGGCTGGCGAATTCGTCGACGTCGTCGCAGTCGTCGAGGGGCTCCCGACGATCGCCGCTCTCCCCGTCCTCAACGAGCCTATCTTTGTCGTTGCGCTGCTGCTGCTGTTGCAGCTGCTGTAGCTGCTGATGCTGATGCTGATGCTGTTGATCGTCGCCGCCTCCGGGGGGATTGTTCAGGCTGAGTTTATGGCACACTTCGAAGGCCTGGCCCACCGTCCTCACGACACGCATCGCCTGGCTCTGCGAGCAGTGCCAAAGTACTTTAGCCATTGGGTAGTGTAAGTCGCGAGAGGTGTGATGCCTCGGCACCGCATCGAAGGCACGAGCCTTCCGCTTCGTGCCCTTGACCAATTTGCTTGAAAAAAGTCGGAAGGGAAAAGAGATGGCAAGCTAAGCGCGGGCTTGCAACGGCCTTGGATTAAAAGCGTAAGGACGAAGGAAATTTACGAGGGGATTCGAGGAGGTCGTGAGCGGCTAGTTATTTTCATTAGCCTTTACATTAATTGCACGGAGCTGAAATTTCTTGATACTCGCCGCCGGACGCTTTGAATGGTTTTAAAAGCTCTACTTACCGACACTCTCGATTAAATGGCTCGCGCTCTCGCTATTACGAGTGGATACTAATATTTCGGCTCTAAAGTTTAGTTTAGTGTGGCGTCAGCGCTGTTTGTAAATATTCATTAATTCGCAGTCCTGTCTGATACTCATAAATATACTTAATTGCGAAAGGGCGACTAGTTTTTAATGAACAGCAGTCATCCTACACAATAGACAAAATGTTAATAAATATATGCGCCAATTAAAAAGTTTGGAGAATGCAGGGTAATGGAATGATTTGCACGAGCTTGGGAAGGAATTTCGCTAATCTAGTAACAATTTATCGGGACATTCGTGTTAATTGTCAATGATTCGTCTCTCGTTTATTTATTATGTTTAAAAATGCTAAAGCTCACATTGGACTTCTCTAGGCCCAAAAGCAAATAATACTTGAACTTGGTGTCGTCGTAGGCTTAGGCTTATAAGTTAAAAATGTCTGGAGTGTTGGTTCGTAAAATTGGAACATAAGGAAATGGCTTACCGCCGCCGACTAAATTCCAATGAAGATGAAATGTCACGTGACAAATGATAATTAACAAATTGAATATTTATTGCAATAGTTAATAGAGCATTAGTGAGGTAAGAGTAGACGGAGCTTAAAATAAAATCTTAGGCACGTTGCCACAATAATCGTTACAACAGCGAATCGATAAAATCGCGCCTCAGCGAAACACAAGTAGCAGTGAGATAAGCCTCGTGAGCACTGCCCTTAACAAAAAGAAAATTTATAATCGATATCTTCGCGTCCCAAGCCGTTAATATAAAAGTCGTAGACTACGGGCGTAAAGTGAAAAGTTCGTTGTTCAAGAAAATCAACGCGCAGAGACAAAAAGGAAGCTGAAGAAGAAGAAAAGCCGGGTGTGAATGAAAATTATTTCGAGTGGAAAACCCGTTGCTTCCCACGAAGCAGCGGAAGCGTAGACTTTTTCTTCTTTTATTCCTGTCTCTTTGCTTCGGATTGGCGCCAACTTTCAGAAGTTTTACGATTCAGAATGCCTGCACGAGGCTTGGCCCAGGTATGGCCGAAGGCGGATAAAGTTTGCAAATTTCTTTCTGGGAATGGCAATGAAAGAATAGCCGCGCTGCATCCGAGAAAAATTCGTAGCCCTGTTAATGGAGCAAAGGGCGGGTAGCGGCGGGGAAGGGGGGGGGGGAGAGTCGAATGTTATAAGGAGTAACTGAAACCAGTAAAAATTGAAATGATGGCGAGCTAGGCCATCTTTTGTCACGGTCAAGAGAGGAAATCTTTATCGTTAGAGGATTCTGTGATATGGAAAGGGGGAATTTTAATGAATCCGAGGCGGAAAGAGGGTCGTTAGTATTAGAGTGTAATTTAGCTACAAGTGGTATAATGCGACAAGTACTGTTATTAAACGACCGTAAGAGGAAGAAGGACTCACGTGCACATACACAGATGTTTTTTTTTATTATTGATAGATGAATTAAAAAAAATTGATGATTCCAGGTCCTTTTAGAATGTATTTGAATTAAATTCTAGTTCCATGTAATTTGTCATTTTATAAATTTTACTAATTTCTATAATTATAATCTATAAATAACAAATAATTATATGGCCAGGATATAGACAAAATTTTCTATTAATGTTATTGATTATTATTTAATCAATTGGTCGATGCATTGCATTATTTAATATCTGTTACGATTCAGTTTGGAATCATGAAATATTTTCGACTACATTGGCTTTTAGCAATAAGATTACTATCACATTTGACATATACATTCATTTAATATTTTCATTAGAATTAACTGAAAATTATTTTTCACGTTTACTGTAATAAATACGAAAACCGAATGAAAATCCGAACAATATTTTTTAATATTCTACTTAATAATATAATCTAAGCGTCAGTGTATGGGAAATTGATAGCTCCCTTCAAAACAGCAATAATTTTCAACCCAAGGGGAATATAAATTAAATTTAATAAATCTGACAGTGCCCAAAATTGACTAAAATTACTAATTTCTTATTAAAATAAGACTAAAGGCATAAACCGTCACTAACCTGACCTCAGTTTTTGACAAGCATCCTTATGTTAATAATATTCTTGGTATTATAAAAAATCAGATTAGATTTTTTAATCAAAATTTCATATAACGCATTAACTCAATAATTCATATTTCACTTTATTTTGTTGGATTATCTGAATTATTAAAATTCAACGAAGTTGAATATATTTAATTTAAAAATGAATAATAAATACAAAATTGTCAGATTTCATGAAATATTTTAGAACAAATTGATTATAAATATACTTTCAATGATCTACATTTAATATTGTCTTATATATATATATATATATATATATATATATATATATAATTTATATAAATATTGTAAATACATAAATAGATTTATCGTTATATAATAAAGAAGATTAAATTTATAAAGCTTACGGATATATAATGTGAAACCTTCTATTGAAAAACTAGATAAATTATAGAAAATATTTTTTCGATACCGTAAAACTCTTTAAATGTATTTATTACTCGTAAGAAAGATATTAAATAAATATTCATAATACGTTATAATGGTTTCAATCGCTTACAAAAAAATTAAATATCCATAACACATAGTATAGTTATAGATTACTTAATGTACGTTAAAGGAGTTTAATATACTTTTTCAAAAATTTAATTTAAGCCAGGATGTCAGTATTCGTTATCAGTAAGATAATGCAAATCGAAACGAGGTAACGAAGATTTACAAAATTCGATGTAAATTTACTTACGTAGATTTTTTTTTTTTTTTTTTTTTTTTTTTTTTTTTTTTTTATTAAAAGAATGAATTTTTTGAAAAAATTAATTATCTTTCAGCTTTCGAAATTGCATAAAATTTATATATTCTTGCACCTCCCAACAGCTTGTATTATTAATATATACAAGTTGTATATCCTAGATGAATTCCATTGCATGTTTAATACGTTATAATAAAATTTAATAGATATACGACTTTTCTACCTATTTACAAAACTCACTAGGTATTTATTTGGATAGAATATTTTTCAAAATAATATACAGTGAAAAATAAAATGAAAAAGACTACAAGTTTCTTAGGTCACTGAAAAGATATCGCGTTAGTGTTCACTGTATTTTCCTCTTTCTTTATTTTCGTTATGCTACTCTTTCTGCCACCGTGACCCGTCCAATTTCCCGATTTTCGTTATATGAGATTTTTTACGATATTTTCACAAAAAGTTTTCTTGAAATTCTCCAATTAGAGAAATATAAAAAAAAATTTCGTTCTATCATTACTGTGTAACAACATTCTTCTCTTATCAAGAATAAAATAAGAAATATTTTTTAACGGAAAAAAGATTTTTACTATCGGGCCTTCTTATTGATGGTGTGTGATTTGCATATAAAGTAAAAGAAAATGTTAAGCGAAAAATTTACTTTAGATCTTTTGGAGGCGCGATTTCGACTCTAAATATTTATATACATAAATATTAATTCTCTTAACAGCGTAAAATTGGTAAAATAAATAAATTTTCCATAAAAATAGTTGATCTGCTTTTAATGAAATAAATGCTTAGTATCAATAAACTTTATTTTAACTTACTTCACAAAATCAAAGGGAAAGCAAGTTTTAAACTAAAAATAAAGCTTTATATATTATAAGGGAAGAAGGCACCGACATCTTTATCGAAAATCGAAATATTATATCATATTTTCCAAATTACCCTGATTTTAAAAACATTTCCGGTCGTATCATGAAGCTGAGTCGCACGTACGCGGTGCCAGACCGGATAATAGTTACACGCGTTTTCATTTTATCCCATCGAGTGACTACTTCTGTCAACGGCTGTAAAGATTTATCTATTCGAACGTTGTCCCAACGCATTCATCATCACTCATTGACGAACACTGAAACGAGAAGCTGCATTACGTATTTAACGAGAAAACACCTGCAAAAACAATTTAAAATGCGTGCAATGCTCGCGTAGGCTAGTGGTCGCTTGTAACCGGCGTCAAAAAACGCGTTAGCAAGCCATTCCTTCGTCGTCTACCTCGCCGTCTTCGGATCCGAACCCCTCCCGCCGCTCACCATTCCACCAATCACCACGACACTTTGGCCTTAAATTTCGATCGACATCCGCAATAGCTTTGCGACCGCTCGTGGCCGCTCCCACGGCCTTCGCGGAACATTCTCACTCGGTCAATTAACACCTCCCTTCCTGATTCCTTCCTCCCTACTCCCCTCACCCCGCACCGCTGTAGTACGCCCACTGCCGTACCTCGAGCTCCTCGAGCTCTCCGGATCGAGCAAAGCTCTCGTGGGCGTCGTGGCTGCGCCGCGACGACGGCTGGAGGCTCTTGGAGCGACGCGCGCCCCGCATCAGGGACACGCGCTTGAACCCAAGGAAGCCTATGATCTCCGGCTCCTTGAAGGAGAACTTCTTCCGGCCTTTGGTCTTCTCCACCATCGGTACGTGGCTCGACTGCTCCTCCGTGCTACCGCCCCTGCGCGAGAGCATCTTCACCCTCCCTCTGGCTCGCTCCTTATCATAGAACGACGTTTAATCCTCTGAAGCATACATTTTTATGGATTTTTTCTCGGACGTTTAAAGTAGCCGAGATTCGGAGTCGAGGGGCGCCGCTCGACGATACCAAGTAGCTAGCTG